CCATCACAGCAGCACAACTGTAACAGGCAGAACCTGCATTTCATCGACACACTGTTGGCATTTAAAGTCAGGCTGTMTGAACTGGACTCAACACCATTACTCCTTACTAAAACACAAGTTGTCAATATTGCCAGTAACAAGGCTCAGGAGGCTGCCTCTAACAATAAAGAATGGCTATGATGCAGGAAAGTAATGTCGAGACCCTCTTGACATTGCACTACATAAGGTTTTGTGGTCCTCATCAAATGGACCAACTGAAGATAGGGTTAATCTAAAGAATGCACTCTGCAAGACTGCACATTTGACATCTCTTTTATGTTTCCATTTGAATTACCAGTTGGTCTGAAAAGAGCTTTTTGCTGGCTTGTCAGATCTGGAGTACTGCTCTAGTGACAGAAGCACCACTTTCAGACAGCAGCACCCTCAGCCAAAGACTGCTCAAGCCAATGGAACAACCCTTTGAATTCACTGGGCTTTGGATCAACCCTTCACAACTTAGAGACAATGGTAGATAYGTTAAGAGCCCTCCATGCCTCTAAGATAAAAATAGCTCCCATTTGAGAAATTGAGGTAATAAAAAATATCCCTCTGCTCAGAGAAAAAATTCTCTAGCAAACAGTAAAGGGACTTTTCAGGAAATGAATCTGTACCCAAAACAGTTCAAYAAATATTATTACAGGGTAAAGTCAGGCAGGTAATGCAATGTAACTGTACAATCTCCCCATTGGAGGCCAATCATTATCTCTGTCATTGACCTTTCAGCTCTAGCTATCTAYTGCTGCATTAAACATAGCCTCCAGAAAATAAGCTCTTGCTATTGTTGCYGTGAAACACCATGGCAGATCTAAAGGGCAGAGTTCATAAGGGTAACTGTATTTTTCTTCATTGATTTGGAGATGTGATATGACAGTGAAATGCACAGGATTAATTCAAGTGTTTTCACACATTCCAGTTATCTTAGAAATCAATTGCTGAAATAGAAGGAATAGTTGGATCTTTTGTTTTGTCTGCTGCAGACAATCAAAAGCAATTATTACAGAGCACAAAAACAATTATGTATAAAATAGCATGATTATACTTGCAGCTGGACCTTCCACTTTGCAATGGGTCCATKCTCACTTAGGTTTCCTGTAGTGGTGAATACACCACAGTATGGGAATTGCAAAGAGATCTTCAAAGCCAAAGGTGAACCTTTGTWATTATGGATGAGAAACAGGATTATCACCCAAATCTAAAGCAATAATCTGAAGCTACTAAAACTACTAAAATGAATTAAATTCATCAGTGCTCTGCTAGGCTTAACTCAACACACACACACATTGCTACCATTTAGTAGCTCCACCACAGAGGTTCAGAACATCCTGAAAATTATGACAGAGCAAGAAAACTTGCTCCATTGGCAAGAGGCAGCATCCAAGAAAAGRAAGTAACATCCAAAACACCATTATGTTTCCAAAACCAATACAAGCATCACAGGTCTAACTATATGAACTGTACAAGATCTAAACTCTCATGACTCGACCAAGAGACTGACAAAAAGAATCCTSTGTATTTCTCCCTCATTGGCTCAAACATGACACCAACTAAAACTAGAATCTTATAAAATGAGAAGAAAGGGACATTAACAGTGGGTGCAGTCTATTCTGCTACCTAAACCTTATACCATACTTTCTAAACACACAAATTTGCTCTTCATGGCCATGAGTAAAGACTTCTTCAAGTACTGTTTTTACTGTAAGRAATGATAAAAGCTTAATTGGCATTTTCCGTGATGAAACTTAATCCCATTTCAACCTGTCCATCATGGTCATTGAAAAAAGCATTTCCTTCTTACAAATCTTTTAAATACTTGAAATCTCTTACATTCCCCTTGAAMTCCTYATCTCTTGCCAAAATAACTTGGATTTTCTTCCACATTTATGAAGTTGTTTCCTCGAACTCTGATCACTCACATTTCTCTACTCTGAACTCCTTCCAAGTAGTCCAAATTCTTCTTGAATCCTGGCACCCAAAACAGATGCTGTCTGCACAGACTGTACACCAACAGCAAATAAAGCCAGTGGACTTAAACTTTACATCTCTGAGACAATACTCCTGTTTAAACATCCCAGTAAGATATTTGTCTTTTCTGCAAACTGCATGACACTGACTCATGTTCAACTTGTGATCCAGTACACCCCCAGGTCCTTTTTCTAGTAGCTAACCAGTTATTCCTCACCCTGCATTTCCACAGCTGGCAATTCCTGCCTAAGTGCAGTACTCTGTATTTGTCCCTATTGAATGTCATGCTATTTTTCAGGTTATTTTGAACTCTCATCATGTCCTCCAACACACAGTCCCTGAGAATTTAATATGCACATTTAATCAGTCAGTTGACTAATGTTTTCATTAAAGGCAACCATAACCAGGACAGAGCCCTTCAACATAACCTCTCATTTTAACACCGAAATGTTAATTACAGTTCTCCAAACAGGATCACCTACCTCCAGATCATGCTTCCATTTACTTATGAGGCCATTAAAAGGAGGAAAACCTTATTAAATCAATTAATCCAGAAGACAAAACCTCCACTGCTTCTGCTACAGCCACAGAGCCTTCTGTTTTGCAGTAGAAAGGTATTAAGATTTCGGACACAATTACTTTTCCCACAAATCAGTTCATGCTGCTGTATCATCCACGCACATGAAAACAGAGTATTTGTTTATTAATCCCAACTGATGGCAAAAACTGAGACAAACTGAACTGCCAGACTGCAATTCCTCTTCCTCAGCTCTCCTCCCTTACAACTGTCTGAAGACTCTTCCTTTGCCAGTCTTCTAGTACTTCTGAGTAGCTCTAGATRACACTTTTGAGCTGTTCTGAGAATTGTACAATGAAGTTTATCAGAGCAAGTAGACACAGAAAGATCTAGCAGAAGTACATTGAAGTGTAAAATACTACCTTATCACAAGTATTCGTAAGATTAAGCACCTGCATGGCACTACATGAAAGAAGGCAAGCAAAACAGGCACTTAAACTGTTCTGCACCTTCTGCAGAYACACCAGCTTCCCACTGAATCAAGTGAGACATTTCCCAACCTTCCTCCCACTACTTACATATTTTTACAGGTAGCTGGCTTTTATTTCTCTTGCTACTTGCCATGCCATCTGAGCTTTAGCCTTTGTGATATCTCTCTCTACTACTGTTTTACACATGTTCTTCATAATGTGACTTACTTTCACACTCTATCTATACTTTCTTCTCRCATCCAAAGTCAGTAAAGGTTTGCCATATATAAGCTTCTCTTACTACTCTGTTTCTCAAAAGCCTTCCCATTACACTGCTCTGTCTCCTACCCTTTAAAAGAATCAACTCTGATTTCACAGCCATTGCCATTTATCACCTTTCATCTTGACATCTTCTAGCTAGAATAAAATCTAAAGGGGCTGCCATTTTTGTTCTCTATGTACCCYCTAAAACTGAAAATATCACCATCATATAACTTTGCTAAAGGTCAAAAAAAATAATTGGGTATTTTGATTTTGAAGGATGATCTTTCAGTCTTAAATACCACATAAAAAATCTCAATCCAACTAAAAAGCAATGGACTTGCTACCAGTTGTAGTACCACATCCTCTTCCAAAGAGCGGCTTTAAGATGAACAATGCAATGTTGCAGTTCTAAGAAACCACCAAAAAAAGAATAATTATTTCAAATGAAAAACACACAATGAAAAAACGAAAACACAAAATGAATGCAAATACAGCTAATTCTGGTAAATCAGATAGGATTACAGATGTAATTGACACTTCAMCACTTCAGGGCACCAGCAAGATTCCATGGCCAGGGAGACCCCTTCCCACTCCCAATCAGTGGAGAGTGCTCCATGATGATGGTGCTGAAATTATACATTTTACAAAAGGAGCAGCAAAACACAGTACTTCAGCTTTTTGTTTAGATCACATCCATAACTCCTGAGGAGAAACTGTGAATCACCCATCCTTTTTTAATTCAAGCCTGCCTTTCACCTACCAAAAATTAAAGTTTACAGTCTTTACAGTCTTATTTCAATCAGGAATAAAGGTGTCAGACTTGGAGCTATAATACAATTACAGTTTACTACAAAATAAACTTTTGTTCTCTGCTATGCAGATTATTTAACAAAGGAAGCAGGTTTTTTTATGAATGAAAACTATTTTTAGCTCATTGTGTAACAGTGAAAGGGAAACATTTTTGGATTACTGTTATTTTAACGGTTTTTTTCAATGTTTTATTGTGAAATTAGGATTTTTGAAATAGGATTTTTGTCTTGTACAAACCCTTTCATGCTAAACACAACCAGATCCATGCACTAGTCAGAATGCTGGGGTTTTTTTCACTGTAAAATCCATAAAAACTACTCATCTGCACATGACTCCAGACACAAAGCAAGTTTGACCATACTAGATGCCATGCTGTAGAGAACAGTAATCCCTGCCCAAAACCCATGTACTTTAAACAGACCTTCTTCTCCAATGCAGTTCTTGCAGACATTCAGAAGATGAGCCTGAACACACACAGAACATATTTTTACATTATGTTGATAAGGTTTGGCCACAGAGTAAATTAAGGAAACCTTTTTTTTTCCTAATTTTCAAAATTTGAAAATTTTCTAATTTTCAAAATTCTAGAGTTTTACAAGATTTAACTAAAGGACTTTGTTTCACAAGGCAATAAAGGAATGAAATCCCGTCTCTCCATACTGGTTACTATCACGTTCACACCACACAAACATTAAATAAGAAAAGCATTATAACCRTGCTCCCTGCTCTGCAGTTAAAGATGCTCAAGCACAGTAATCAACAGAGACATTCATCTCAACAGAAGTAATAATTTTTACAACRGAACTTGGACAAGCTAAGTCAAAGTAATCCCCTGTTGAAGATTTGTGTTCCTTACAGAAATAAAGCAAATACTATCTAAAGGCTTCCAGAAAAAGGAACAAGGGTACAATGGTCAAAACACTTGATGAAAACCTGACCTTTCCATGTCAGTTTCCAGTTCTAGTAGATTTTCTCTATGACCTGGACAATCCACTTGGACCTGCCTTTAACAATAAAAAGGTATTTTACTTCCACAGAATAAAGTGAATTTGTCTTCATCCCACAGAAAATCAATGGCTTGTTGGCTGTTTTATACTCCACACTACACACAGAAAACAGTAAGGATACTACTTCCTCAAGGCAAATAAGAAAAAATAATCTGAGGGCTCCATGTCAATACAAACTTTTTTAAATTTCCTTTTTAAATATCATTTATTAGGAACACAGCAAAATAGCTTGTCTGATGCACCATGCCTGTCACATGGCACAGTAGCAGAACAGGACTGAATCACAAAGTTTCTCAATCACTCAGACTTTATGATGCAATTTCCCTTCCTGCTAGGCAGCCCCCACACTCCCTCATCAGGCACTGCAAGCTTCCTGACCAGGCAGCTGGGACCTTCCACCCCTCTGTTTCCAGGTTAGGGATGAATCAGTGCCTACCCATGCCAAGAGGTCCTCCCCAGACTAGAAAAAAAAGAAATACAGGAACAAACGTTTGGTCCTAGGACACAACTAACAAAAAAAATTAAGGGATGAGAGCATGATGAGTTCAAAGTCTACAGAACACTGCTGAAAGACACCAAGCAGAGCACCTGGAACAGCACCATTGCTCCTGGGAGGTATTTGGGAAGGCAGCAGCTGCTGTCCAGCAGCTCTGATGGAGTCTGCAGAACCGCTCAGACCCCTTTCACTGCTTTTGCCTCCTTGTGTCATGGACAGTCAGCTCTGGCCAAAACCAAAGTTAACAAAAAGMCCTCTCTTACTCTTTTTCTAAAGCACTTTAAAAGCTGATAACCTTGGAGCAATATTTTTCTCCTGGTGGTCACACTGGAATACTCCATACAGCCAGAAGCCAGTGTTCTTTCAGGTGACTAAACCAACAACAGATGACATTTTTTGTTCCACTAAGACATGTTAATGATATGCTTYGTAGAAGTCACGAGAGTTAAATCAGTACCAATAAATTTCCAAGACAATTTTAMAGTTCAAAGTTGACATAGCATATTTTCTTTAAACTCAGTAAAATTGTATTTGTAATTAGCCAACAAGAAAAAGCAGCTTACAAAAGCAGCAGTACGTAGCCATCARTGCCATGCTAAATACTAAGACAAAYATTTTCTCAATGTGCAGTAAAGACATACTGCTGTCACCCATAAAACTAACATATGGACAGCAAGTTTATGAGGACCTCACTTAAACCAGAGTAAACTTAAATAATACCAAAAAAGCTGTTTCTCCACAAGTTCAATAAAATCAGTATTCTATAGGACATAACAGTGTCATACAACAACTTAAGAAAAGATAAAAGTAGCAATTCTTTCCAACATGATGGAACCGATGGCTGAAAAACATTGCTAACCTTGTCTGAAGAGCCAGTGTATGGACAAATCTCATACATACAACAGCTGAGTCACCTACAACAAAAAAAGAAAAAACACCAAAAAGAACAGTCAGTGTAATGAATAGGCTAAATGAAACATAATCTTGATAGCCCTTGCTAAGAAAACACCACACAATTCTAGTGAGGGCAAACTGCAAAGAAAACACATTAATGAATTCTAAAGCTGGCACAAAAAACTCAGCAACCTCAGAAGAGGAAGCAGTCAGACAGCGAGGCCAGACAACTATCAGCACTCATGTTAGAACAGTTTAGAGTTAATCATCTCCCACTGCTGGAGGCTATGCTATCTCAGCTTCCTGAAGGGCTCCCAAAGTCTCTTCCAAATACAGCACCTGCAGGGATAYACTGATCCCAGCATGCAAGCCACAGCACTGGTCATAGCAGCAAGCTTTCAGTGCCAATACTGTGGATACTTAAGATTTTCTTCACCTTAAGTATCAATTCTGTTTGAATTCTCAGTGTTTAATTCACCTAGTAGYTGTTTACTCCTGAACAAGCATAAACAGGCCTCCTCTGTGAGATGACGCAGTGGYTGTCAGAGGTGCTCGCAGTGCGAGATCCCCGTCTCCATGGCTGGGCTGATACAAACGTGCTCTATAACCTTTGTCAGCAGCAGAATGCACTGACTCATGTGCTGAAAAAAGGATGASACGCATTGAGTCTTCATCTTGGACTGCAAAGTTTGTCTTTGGTACACGATCATCAGCATTCTCCACCGACCCCGCCACTGCAGAACACGCTGACGTGTGCTCAGGCAGCGGAACGCGCCGTGTTCGGTAACCGGGACCGCCGGCAGAGCCGGGGGCCGGGCTGAAAGGACGGAGGAAGCGGCAGGGGAGTGCTGCCCGAGCTGCCGAGGGTGCCCCGCCAGCCCGCGGCGACCCTTGGGCAGAGCGGGGGGCGGCCGAGCCGCCGGGGCAGCGCCGCACGTGTCCGGACACCGGCGGCGGGACACCGCGCACGCGCTCCCGGCCAGCGCGCCCCTTCCCCGGGCACGGGGCTCACCCGGCCGCGGGACGCGCTCCACGGCACCGGCCCCG